GAGTCATCATCCGAGTTTTTTCCATGTCCGCACTGCACTGTCTCCTTTACTGACTTGGACTTCCTGGAGAAGCATGTTAAGTGGGTCCATCAGAAACAGTACCTTGCGAAACTCAACACATGCATCTCAAGCCGCACACTAAATCTCATCCCCAAATACAGCTGCGGTGCATGCAGCAGTACCTTTAACTCTAAAGTACACCTCAGGGTCCACGTACGTGAAGTCCACCCTTCTGCCCCTCCCCGCAGGCTTCACCCTTGCCCAACCTGTGCTCGCAGCTTCCAGTACCTGAAGAACCTAAAAAATCACTGTCAGCGCTGGCACAACATGTCTGTGGTTACTAGAGGAGGATATCTCAGTTGTGCTGATTGTGGAAAGAGTTTCAAAACTACCTGGGGTCAAGGACCTCATTTGTGTCATGAACTAGATAGCACAGAGCCTGAAGATAAACCAATCTGTCTGGACACTGGTGTGGAGTGTCCAGAATGTGGTAAGAAAGTGCGCACACCTCAAAGCCTGGAAGACCACATGCGCACCCACACAGGCGACCGGCCGTTTGTCTGCAAGGATTGCGGCAGGAGGTTTGTAGAGCGCAGCGGCTGGCGACAACACATGAAAATACACACAGGGGAGAAGCCCTACAAATGTCAGGTGTGTGAGAAAGCCTTTTTAAGGTCCCACCATCTTAAGTGCCATTTAACAACACACTCTGGCAAGAAGGAATATTCCTGCTCGGAATGTGGAAAGGAGTTTGGATTGAAGTCTAGCCTGGATCTACACCTGAGGACACATTCAAGTGAAAGACCCTTCCACTGCAATGTGTGCGGGAAAAACTTTAACACTCAGAGAAACCTGAGGGTTCACACTAAACTTCATACCAACGAGAAAGCTCATCAGTGCGGAGACTGCGGGTTGAAGATCGGAGATCTCGGCGCTTTAAAAATACACTTACGAACACACACTGGTGAAAGGCCTTACCACTGCACTGTCTGCGGCAGTAGGTTCATTCGCCTTGCCCATTTAAGAAATCACCAACGCACCCACACTGGTGAGAGACCCTACAAATGTACTGAATGCGATAAGAGTTTCACACAGTCCGGTGACTTGGTGAAACACAAACGGATACACTCTGGGGAAAAGCCCTTTGAATGTCCCGAGTGCCACCGCTGTTACACTTCATCTGGTGATCTGGGGAAGCACAGGAGGAGTCACACTAACCTGCGCCCCTACACATGTCAAGAATGTGGGAAAAGCTTTCGCCTGTCGGGCCATTTGAAAACTCACATGTTAACTCACACAGGCGAGAAGCCGTATTCTTGCCCTAAATGCCTCCGCAGGTTTGCCCGCTCTCACCATCTTTCCGGTCACGTTGCCAAATGCCGCTAAGCTTCAATGAGAAGATTGTAAATAGGACAGTGCTGACTTTAAGTTGCAAGTAAAAGTACACTACCCAGTCTGTTTTTGTTTGGTTTTTTTAACTTTTTTTTTTTTTTTTTAAATGAATGTGTTAAAACGAACTCTTAACTCTAAATGTAATGCATGAAATTTTTTACACATCAAAAGTAAAAGGCTGTCGTCACGCTGCCGTGCAGGCAGCGGAGCGGCGTGGGGAACCAAGTTTGTGTAAAAATCTGAGTTCAAATCTCAGTGAGCTCAATGTAAAGGTCAGAGGTCAGCATTTCTGAAAATCATCTAGTATTTTCAAATGTATGCCATAGGTCCATCTACAAGGAGGCAGATGGGTAGAACTGGCGGTTGCCAGTAGTTTTTCTTTTAACGGCACTGTCTCAACAATAATCTGTTTTTGCAAAACACTATAAAGATAGCTTGAACAAATCATATGAAATTCTGCTAATGGATTGTTTTTGTTCTTCCACTTGTTGATTACTAAATTATCTGTAATACATCAATGAAAGTTTGAAGTGCAAGGTGTATCCCTGTATTTATTGCTTTTATATATTTATTTTTAGTATTATGTTTTATTGTCTTTAATTTATATAATTAATGTTGTG